TCATATGATCATTTGTAACGATCTTATATTAATTAAAATGTTTTCATACTGGATAATACAAACCAAGGTCGTGTTGGGCAATAACGGCAATAACTGGAACGAAGAATTGCAGATTAGCTACCGTCCTATGAGCTAGTCATTGTGTCAGGTCAAAGAACGATGATGTGAAGATTAGATTAGTGATAACGTTCGAGGCCTCAACGACCAGATATCTTCGAAAGACTTCCATTAGTTACAAAAAGTAAGTCAGGTCTGCAAAGCAAACGCCATTAATCCGTATAGGTATATTTTATGGCTAGATCGAAAGCGTCATATTTAACCAAACTACCATGAACTGAAGTAATTGGCCGCATTACAGATGTATGATCGGAACGGATTTATTTGGATGTGTAAGAGTGACACTGATACTGGAATGCCTGCCCAAGTCATAAAGACGTAACCTGCGTAGAATACTATAAAGGGCTACATTGTTCCTTGCTATAAACCTTACAATCAGCCTAATATAAAACTACACCAATGCCTTAATCCTGACTCTTACCCTATGGTACCCCTTTACTATGCAGGCAAAATACGCCTCTACCTATGCGTGATCGTGGCTTATGTTACCGTCAACTGGAAGTCTAACAGAAAACCTAGTCCTTAACCTGATTCTAAGCCTTGCCTCAAACCCAACACTAATTTCTCTGAAATTTGGCTCTAATGCACTCATACAGCAGGCGGTTTCTATTCCCGCATCCCGCTTAGACGACCACATAAGTACAGCAGTGTATGTATAAGTAGAATAGAAGGGAGCCGTTCAAACGACGAAACTATTACTTAACTGTTCCTTTCCTGGACTCGCATAGGTATTTGTCGTCGGAAATTAAATCGACAACAGAAAGCGAAACAGTTGTAAGGGGTAGCAGACATTAAACTATAAGTGATGTCATCCCCGATGTACTTATCACAAAGAACGCGCAAAATGAAGAGAAGCTGATCTTTTTCATCGTGTTTATCTGGGAAGGTCTACAAGACCAAATGTTTAGAAACAGTGTAAAAGATGCTTAGCTTTCACATGAGCTTTCCTCAGACAGTGCGTGCACCTCTGCAAAAAATGTCCTTTCACAGATCCAGACCCATTGCGATAATTCGGGACAAGATGCATATGATGCCCAATATCTCAGGTGAACAGTCTATTTGGGGCGATTAAGTGAGTTTGGTAATAAGCCGAAAACTGCATGTTCGCGGCGAAAAGGGCCCTCAAGAAACCATACCTGTGGTTTGACATGATTTACCGAGCATCAAACTCGTGTAAAATGCAGTCGACTGCATTACCGCAAGACAAGGTAACGGAATTACACATCGGCTAAGGTCTACTACGAACAGCAACGTCATGAGAATCGGCTACCAACTAAGTATTAATGGACATTTGAAACTAAAAGATTGGTTGGGTGCATGAGGAAATTGCTCATATACATACATCCATGAGCCGGCTTCACCATGCGATAGTAACAATGGCTTAACCTGAGGTTCCTAGCACAGCCAGACAAGGAGCGAACCAAATAAATGCGGAAATGTAAGGCTATTCGAGAGGCGGTTATATAAATTCAATTCAAATGTTAGGCTTTTAATGATTTTAGTACATAGTATTTACGTATTATGTGTGGCAAATTTGAGGTAAGTCTTTGTGCTATCTTTAAATCTAACAAGCCCGCACGCCGGTGATGAGCATATTTGATCTGTGGGTAAGGATATAATATATGTACAGGGAAGGTCGGCTTTCTTGATCTGCATAGTAAACTATTTTAGCCAAATACACTGACACCTATAGACGTCCCTAATCCCACCAGGATGACGTTCCTTAAACTAAAACGGTCGAAGTGGTACAAAATATCCACAATGACTCATTATTCTGCAACCCTTAATAGAAGTTATTTAGTACATGTCAAAGCACCTGTGCACGGTTTTGTGGATGCAATAAGCTTCTCCATTTTCGTATGGCCGCAGCCCACATCGGTGCAATTTCTGTGTAAATAATGGAGCCATTTACGACGCAACCTACTCTTTTTACGTCCTCAATATAAAACAAATAATTCTTTAATGCATTCTTTCGACCCACGATGTTCCGCCCAGACATAGGCCTACTCGGCTAATTTCCTTTTAAGGTGCTTCGCAAAAGGCTGTATAGATTTTCCAGTTTGACCATACTCATTTTATTTATCATTGCCAAATTTCATTTTCCAGCACATCCATATGTTGGTCTAAAAGCTGTGAAGTATTAGATTAATAAATTTATGAAAGTCTTCTATGCCTTGACGTCTATATAAAATCTACCTTGTTAGCATGAAAAATCTATTAAATGAGTAATCGTTTAAGTGGCCCACGATTTGCCCAAACTGTACATTAAATCGATTTCAGTTGCAAGTGCCTTTAATTCAGGCACCACGTAACGCTATGTGGTGCGTACGCTATTTTGTACAGACTGTCGACCTCTCTAAATGAGTAAAGAAGTTGATTGGTTGCCGCGCGATAAAATATGTTTTTTGATTCCACCGGTAAATATTAAAAACACTTTATGTCAAACGCTGTCCAGACGTGTTGCAAGGAATAAGAACCCGACAGCAGAAGCATGCGGTCACGAATGATTTTTTGCTTGCTGTGCGCGCTAACGATTTGTGCATGCTGCAGATCTTGGCGCCGGCGTCCAGACGATACACGTAAGCTTGTCGTGTGCTGCATGGAAATGAAAGACATGATTTTGACATATTTTACAAATTATTAGTCGCATGAGACGTTTAAGTTAAATTATAATCGTTGAAAGCTAAAAGGGGGTTTGAGTCACAATGATGAACGAACGATTATGTACCGAAGGAAAAGTAGGATAAATAAAGCACGCTATCAGATATCCGGTAATCTCGTGTAAGTTTAAGATTTATAAAATCTCGGGTCTGTGCCTGTTTAGTGATTAAATTTTATTTCAAATTTATGAAAGGTAGCCTACTTGAAACTGCATTACTAATAAATATAATATAACGGTTTACGGAATCATGCGACCATTACATTTAGATGTGTATGCAGTCAGTCAATACCTTATATACAGTAAAGAATTTTAGTCTTGAACGGTGTGTTACTTGCGTTGAACTGTTCTATCCGTAAAACCATAATTTAACAGGACACTGGGGTGTGCGTACAACAATTCCTATCTGTCATCCTTCCTCAAAATATTTAGAAAGAATTACTTCAATCTGCGGATGGATATGAGCTTGTTTTCTCGTTTTAAATACTTTATTCTTATTCCAAGTTAGTATCCACGCTTTCACACTTATGCTAATGGCATGGCTTGCATAAGTAGCTGTTTAAATGTGCTCACTAACAAGCAATTTTGATACAATGATCAGTATAATAGGTTGAAACAAAAATATAGGTGCTAGAATGCGTTTATTGTCATTTTCATAGGCGTTGAATGGTTTATTTTTAGATGTGCATATTTATCTAACCGGAGTAGAGGTGTAGATCGTTTACTTATAAATTTAAAAAAGGCGATGCTATTTCTAACTAATGGTCATGATAATTCATATATGTATGAAAACGCTACTCATATATAAGTACCAACACCAACCTTGGAATGCGTGTGTTTATAAGAAGTACCTGTGGAGGAAGAATACCATAAAATTATAAACTGTAACTTTTCCTTTTAACTGCAGATAATTTAAAGTGTAAACATATTTCTGAAACCTACATAACCACGAATGTCAAACGACTTCTTGAAAGCCGTCTTCAATTTAAAAAATCTGTTCAACTCCCCGAGTGTGCTACTGCGTCATTTGGTCGTTTGACAACATTCTTCCTCAAGGATGGTTTTCAGTGTTACAAGGAAACGAGCGTGTGGACTATAAAACTAACCTTCTACCATGGCACGGTTGACATTTACGCCTCGGTTATGACATACAGCGTCCCGTTTAAAAACGTTTCGTCGACCGACAATTGGCCAAAGCATGATTACTCAAATTTTAACGAGCAGCGCCAGGCTAAACGCATACGTGCCTATTTTAGCTTGGTTCACACGAAAGGCAGGTACATGGAGCAGCTTTTGTTCGCAGATGAGCAAACACTTTCATTTAACTCAAAAATTTACAATCCAGATTGCAATGAAAATAAGGCCAATCAACAGGCTTTTACGGATGCTGAAATTAACGTTATTTCAACGCTTTGGGCTGTACTTAAATCGCAATATCCTTTTGGATGTTGGTCAAATTTGCAAACTGTCAGTCCTGACGACATGTATTACACGAACTAATAAGTTTAAAATAAAAAGTGTTTATGGATTGATCCTTATTTTTACAGCTCTTGTTCTGGGCTGCGAATTCGCTCTGTGATGACTCATAACTTTGCAAACTATCATTTTCAAATTATGTGCATTAATTTGAAAAAGATGTTGACAGCATATAAATGCACTTCTGGTTGTCATTCGATAGGATATCAACTCATATTTAAAAAACAAGCTTTTGAGATTCGACCGTCGTTTCTTCTGTTCTACTGTTGCGTAATCAGTTTTTTCTACGCAGACCTGGTGACCGTTTTGCGAATTTTATGCTGGAAAAGTGTCTTTTACTCTCTAAACTACAACAATTATGTCAACTTAACACTACGATATCACTATCTTAAAAAGGAGCTATGACGCGGGTTTTAAGATGACATAGTAGCAACGATTGATAGTAGCGGTCGTTGCAGTTTTTGGACAGTAAATATCGCTTGGTATCTTCCGATTTTATCTTGTTTGTCTACACATTCCGTACGATACAAATAAAGGCATATCCCGTTTATCATCCCCAAAAGAAGACAAAGAAGAAAAAAGGCGATGCCATGGACCAGACTTTATTAGTGCGGACGTTTCGGAAAGTTCTTCGCTTCCATCATCAGAGTGGTGGTTGGACGTTTGTTCTTACTAGCTTCCCGCATGTCTCGTGTTATAGGCATGCCTAATACACGAGCTTTGACCTGTTTGCTGGCGGCGGATCGGCTTAGGTCTCTCCGTGGCCGACCTCCGGGGTGCTGGTGTGACCTCTGCCCCCTGCCCGGTCGCTTTTGCCGCTGCTAGATCCGTTTGGCCGTTGGGCCTCCCCCCATAATTTGACGCGCTGATCAGCTGCCGTTGTATTTGGGAATAGCAGTCGGCTGTTTGGGCGCGTCAGTGGGTCAATGTCTCGCGTCGGTCGTCTGACGCCCGGCTGCCTCTGTCCCCCCGCTGTGAAGGTGACAACTGCTGAGAGAGCTGTGATTTGCTCGCCAGTGCGTGCGGTCCCGTCCGAGCTGACTGGAGCCTCGAAGTGCCTGATAAGCCGGATGAAGATAAATGGCTCTGTTGATTGTGTCCACTGGGGACCAACTTTCAAGAAGCAATCCGGCCATCTTGTCGCTGGCTCGGCCGATTACGCTTGCCTCCCCAAAGGCAAAACTGTGCATATTTACGGAAAAAAAATTGAAGTTGTGTTTTCTAAATAATTTGCATCATTCTTTCTACAAATTATACACGAAAATGGAAGAGTTGTGGTGTAAGAGCAGACTTTTGGCTTCTGAATTGTTTTTGGACTTGCTTTGCTACTGATTGTGCGTTTAGATCTACTTGCTGCACATCTTCCCTGCAAGTTATGTCATATATTCCTGTGGAATAGTCAGAGCGTGCCTCATAGCATCCACCAATTATTAGTGGGCCCATAATGAATACATAGAGTAGGTGTTTTTTTTCAGACGTGCATTAAACGGTATTAAAAACGATCATAACTTTTTTTAAACATAATTATAATTTTCTTTAGGTAAGTTATCTAGATGCGAAACGGTCTGTTATCAAATAAGTACACAAACCACTAGCTTGTGCACTTAGATTATACAATGTTGGGTCTAAAATATTAAATTTATATGGATTATCATGCTAAGTATGCGTCCGTGTATGTCTAGTGTGATTTTTGCAGCCGAATGAACAAGTATATTTCAGAGTAAGCATCATAAAAAAGCTGAAATATTTGAAATTGTGTTGCTTTATATCCACCTAACCTTGCTAACCTTATGACTAAAATTTTATTCTGAATTTCGTAAAACCCTTGTCCCCGACATAACAACTTATTTTGTAGACAACTGCGGACGTCTTGATAAGTGACAGTAGGTTCGTTGGCTTACATCGAATCGAGCTGCATTTTATGCTCGAGTGTGTGGGGCATGTATAATTCCGGGAAGTTTTAAAAATCGATAGGGCTTTTCGGAAAAGCTATTATGAATAAAATGAATTTAAGACAACGGTTGCAGTCAACTATTTATCTGTCATCTACTTTGACGTCTTAAATGGCTCCGGAGTCCAATAATCCGGAAGGTTTAATGTACTTATAAATATATGTCCTTAAAGCACCCATTAGACAAGCCTCTTTCCGGCAAATTGCAAAACACAGCACCCTTTGACAATAAATTTCGATAAGTATAATTTTTGCTCATAAGAGTCTAAAGTCCTTTTACAAAATCAAGTGTATTTTGACAAACATGCACATCAATATTGTTTTTTTAAGTTGTAAAATCGGTAGCGAGCAAACGTTGCTTTCGATAAAGTCTCGTTAGGCCATAACAGTTTTATATGACGAAGTACATTTAGTAAAAAATCGATAAGAGTTAGGTCCTAAATTACAGGCTAGGCAAGAGCGGAAGGGCGCAGAAAGTTGCACGTGGTAAGTCAACCTTTGACCATGGTAAGCGCGAACCCTGAACTGGGTTCTTATGGACGCATAGGGTCGGTTTTCGTAACCTGATAGCGGCCGCTTCTGCTGTTGCTAACACGCACTGGCCTAGTAGCTTAGGGTACCTCGACGGGACCAAGAAATCATAAGGAATGCGTCTGCGGGGTCTACACGACGCCCTGAATCAACTGCATGCGCATGTCCATTCTCCTAGTTTCACCGTTTGTCAGCTATACGGGAAGGTGCTCTCGTATTCTCTTGGAAATGTGCCGACTTGCACGACCAATATAACCTGCTCCACATTAGCAAGTGAAAGAGCAAATGCACATTGAGACGGCCTGAGCTGGCAGCCTTTCTTTGCCTTCTCCGCGTAAACTAGGGTTGGTAGAGAATGATATGCAAACCCTTGCTGCTGCTGAGAAGTATCCCGAGACAGGCTCGTCAGGCGTGTTCTAAGGACTTCCCTTGCAGCGTCCTCTTCGATCGGGGCTTTGAGGAACAACATTTTATTTTCGGAGGTCAGGGTGCCGAGTTTTGCGGGTCGTTTGGCAAGACTATTTGCAATGAACCTGTCAGGATACCCGTTTTTGCGAAGCACACCTTGCATTTTTCTAATTTTCTCCTCAATACTGTCTATGAAACAAAGTTTCCAGCCCTTTGTGCCAGACACTTGACTTGATTTCGCTTTTATTGGAGAGTTGAAACAGGCGAAGTTCGGGTATCGCCCAACCCAGGTTGAATTCCGATAGACGCTCCTTCGGATGCTACCGTCAGATCTCCTGTTTAGAAGGACATCTAAGAAAGAAAGCGAACTGGCCGATTCCATCTCAAACGTGAATTTTATCGAGGGATGTGCTCTGTTTAGAGCATTGAGGAGGTCAGCGACGTCGTTTTCTGCGGTTGCAATTGCGAAGATATCCTCAAAGAAGCGACCGTAATGTTTGAGCCTTCTGATCTGAGTGCTTAATAGAAATCTCTGCGGCTTGACATAGAGAGATCGGTTAAGAGATGTCCAATAGGCAAACGCATAGCAACGCCGAGTTGGTTATCAAAAAGGAATCGCACATTTATTTGTTTGATGATGGACAGATAGAAAATTACATATTTAATTAACCGTTTTGGTGACTTGACGATCGTAAAACGTGATGCAACGTCTAATGAGAACATTGTCATTCCATTTAGGTTGAGGTCTTCAATGTCGCTAATGAATGGAAAGGTATCTCTATAGCTGCGTGGTGCCAGCTGAGAGTTTATTGGCTTAAATTTCTTTGCCAAACACTTAGCTATCGCATTATACGGAGAGTTCGACATATCTAAAATCGGACGAAACGGTTAGCCTTCCTTACGGACCATAGGTAAACCATATAATCGAGGGATGTTTGTGCCGACTGGCTGGCGATGTTCGCAATCATGTTCACTTATGTGGCCTCCTGTGCGGAGCCTTCTTAAATATTTTGTCAATGTTGCCTCTGAGTCATCAGTGCAATCCTTTTCTTTGTTTTTCTTTCTGAATTTCTTCTGGCTAGATAGTATGGACTGTATATTCGCTACATGGTTCCATCTCTTCCTTTTCACGATGCCTGTTCCTTTGTCAGGTCTAGCTATCAAGATCTTTTTGCTTTCCCGAAGTTCTTTTTAGCTCACCGCGTGTGCTTTTGTCAGCAATCCTCGACATTTTGGTCCTCTTTTAAGGTATTGATAACTTCAATTCTCTAGTGTTGATTTATATGTGGATATTGTCTGTGGAAGGGGGCAACATATCCAGAGATTCAAGAGGTTCTGCAACCTAGTTTCCACTTTTAACTGATTAATCTTTCGACGAGGTATGCAAAACTTAGCACCAAGTGGTATAGCTTCAAGTGCTTTTTCATCATGTAAGAGTGGTTATGTACGTAGCGAGGTGGATCTTTTGGAAGCAGTGACTGAGGCTTCAGGTCATGGTAACGTCTAAGAAGTGCAAAAACGCACACCGATCCATTGGCTTCCCGAAGCAAACAAGCTTCGTATGGGCGATAGGGGTCACGAACAGGCTTGTTTGCTTCGGGAAGCCAATGGATCGGTGTGCGCCCATTCCTGAGTGAATAAATACCCGATCTGCAGCGACAGCGAATGGCAGGTGGCGAGGCACTGATGAACTTCGGTTCGATGAAGTGCTTATGACCCATCTGGTAGACCCCAGTGGTGGACCAGCTGCGCCAGGTGCGTCTGTGCGCATGTTTGTGTTTCCGGTATCAGCTGCAGGTGGTCAGGGTTATGATTGGCTGAATGAAGGCAAACAAGCCCGAAACAGTGCTGTATCAATCTACCCCCTAGACTCTGTCGTATCCGCTCTGATATATATATATATATTAGAAATTGTTTAAATGTTATGCATTCCCATTTTTTTCTTTTACAGAAATCGTTTGTCATTGCTGCATTCTATGCCATTTAAAAGATATGCTAGGCAAACAAATTTTACATATGATTTCGCGTTAGTCGCATAGCAACTCACAACAATTTCCAAAATTGTTTAGGCTTATTTTTGTTAGCTTAGAGTTGCAGCACACCATTTTGTCAAACATCTTTTCAACAGTGTATTGATGTTTACAGTGGTCTGTCCATCTACATTACAGACCTGAGTGCTGTGGTTTATTGTTGGTTCACTGATGAATAACAGACGTTTTGCCTTATGTTTGGAAACCCGAATATCAAATTTCAGGTACTGTGTTACCTAGAAATGCATCCTCCTCGCCCATGAGTGTGGTTTTCTTTTTAAATGGCATAACGGCTTCCTGTTTCTAACAGTGAATTCTCCATCATACCTATTCCTTTTCCAAAAAATCGCAGTCATCCGGTTGACTAACGACCACTAATCGGGGAGTAGAAGGTAGCGGTGGTGCGTCGTTTGCTAAAACATGTTGAACTCAGCCATTCTGAATCATGTTAACCTACGACATATTCTAACTATCACGTAAAATAATAATTTTTAATCACAGATGCCTTCACATGTTTGAAAAATGGCATCAGATTTTTAACAATTTAACTCAGGCAATTTTTAATCCAGACAGTGTTTTATCAGTACGTATGCCGAGCGATACGGTCATTCAAAGTAAGCAAAGAAAGCTGCATCCGAATAATAGTTGATTACCATCAGAAACTTGGAAATTGTGCCGAAAGAAATATTTAAGCTCGACAGTGTTTAATAAATACACTTCACCGACGGTTCATAAGTGCTGTATTCAACAGGTCAGATCATTCTATTTCATTTAATACACGTGTTTGCACGTAGTCAGCTTTAATATTTCAATGTAATTATATAATTTGTATCATGTTCTTTGCTTTTCCAACAACATATTCACAAATTCGTTCCAAAAAAGTTAAGGTTCGTTTGATAAATATACCCCGAAATACATATGAAGACGGATTACACTGTGAAAATCCCAAAGTTAATCTAGAAAATTGAATTATTGATTTTACTACCTAGGACTAACCTTATGAATTTGAGTAAGAAGTAACCCTTTTTACACCTGCGTGCGTGGGCATGTCTATCGGCAAAACTTTAAGGGACTGATCATTGTCCTCCAAATAAATTGCAAATTGTGGGGTCGCACGTCAATTCGGTGGGTCCTCTACGACTCCATGTTTCAAACGCTCGCACGTACAATTGACAGTAATGTGTGCAATTCTCCAGTAGCATAACTACGGTATAAACGAAGATAAAGTCTTTTCCTCCTCAGAAGTTTAGATCGTACTAGGCAAAGAAAAATCTCAAGTGCACAGGTTGTTCACTCGTATGGATATTTCATGTGTCTATCCTATTTTGCAAGGACAGTGTTATTAAATGTTAAGCGCGTGTCTCAGCTTTTATCAGACTCCATACAGCTTATTAAACACAAAAAGTAAATTGTATAACGCGCAATCTCAATAACCATGATCAAAAAAGTAATGAAGAAGGGCAAATTCAATTGAAAAGAAATTTGTGGTCACGGATTAGTAGTACATTAAGATGAACCATCACCAGAACTTTACCGAATACTGACGGTTCACATCATAAAACCATATAAACATTAAGGAAATAAAAATAGTTTTAATTTTATGTTAGTAACCGTCGCATGGTCTATGCACACATGCACATCCAGAAGAGAGCAATTGAATGTAGACTCAAAAGACCTAGTTTACACTGCTAATATGTTCTACTAATAACAAATGTCATAATCTACTCATTGAGAGATTATGTCTGGATTAGTTATTCCGCTTATTACTGCTTATCAAATGGTGCCAAAAGGCCTGCCTGACGATATAAGACAGCAGCTAACAGTAGAAATTTGTATAGCATTTTCTGTCTCGGAATGGCGCATTTGTCTTTCTTGGCATAAATACCCAGTCATGGTGTTTGTCGACGGCCACTAATTTCATCTAGTTATTGACGGTCATGACATAAATGCCACCAGATTTATTAAGACTATGGGTGTTTCATACTCCAAGATTCTTAACATTACGGAGCCCTGCACTCTGGAATACTCCAAAACAGGTATATCCACAGAGTTTATATTACGAAATTAAAAAAACGGATGTGAGGGTGTACCATTGTAATGCGTTACACGTTCCGTTAAAGATCATGATTTTTTTAAGAGTGATGTCAATTTAGAATAAATTGTCCAGAAATGTAAAAACGTCTCAAAAATTAAACTTTGCTCAAGCGAAATGTTACTTGTTTCGTGTATGAAGCAGATTTCCAACATGATTTGGTTGCCGAAATCACTGATTTAATCCACCGCTGTGACGGCGCTGCGGTCTGTAATCACCCTGGCCGTTGTTGCCAAGAACTATTGCTTTACCCAATAGCGAAAACTGTTCTTCAGTTATTCTTTATGTTACAGTCCAAACTTCATAAATAAAAATGACGACTGAAGAAAGCGAATGCTGTGCTGCCCTTCCTCTTCTTGACTGATGTTTCTTTTTCTTCAACACTCCTTCATTCAATTATCAGATTGTTTACTGCTTGTGAAATTCGCGCTTTATCTTTCCCTGACACTGTCCATAGACAGCAAGAAATAAATTATTATTATCTTTCGTACTAACGCTGTTCGTGAAACCTGATTCCTTTTTCCAATTTCCTCTTGTAGAAAATGACGCCGACCATGTTGCCGGCCTCCTAGGGGGTAATCTCTGTAGCCGACAACGAACAAGAGTGTAGCCACGCATCTTGTGGATAGCAGTCCCATTATCATGGTACAGAATAGAGGACTGAATACGATGCAGCTTCGGCCATTTCATTTCTGAATTGACACCATTTTACGGGTCGCACTATTTAATCTCCTAAACTATCCACAAAACGCTACCATAAATTGGAATTCTAGATGAGATTTTTTATTGCGCGCCGGATACGCACTGTGTCGGTTTTGGCGATGCCTGTGAAATTTTATTAAGTTAAGTTTATATTATCGTAACTATCACTTGGCAGTAACTACTAAGTCATAAATCTTAATTTATTTTGAGGATGCTCGTATGTTTATTTTCCTTTGAGAACAGGACTAGTGCTTGCGTTTAAAATCTAATTCCGATCTTCTTTGTCTATGATACTTGAGTTTGATCTGATAGACTAAGTTCTTCTCTTACTCCTAGGCACGCTCGGTTACCCCATAGATGTAATCTGATCCTTTGAGAGATAGATCCCCCTATAATGGCTTAGATCTTATTTGTTCTAGAAACCTGAGTTTCTCACCTCACGGGGTTTCCACAAAAACTAAGCAAACTATTTGTAAGACGTCTCCATACACATATAAAACGCAGAACGCGACATCGTGTTCAAAGTGTCAAATTCAGATTCGAAGGCCTTAGCCGGAATAGAAAGAATGCATAGCATTCCACTGTCTTGGCACAGCTATTACCTCGTGTTTGATGACAACGATTATCGGTTCAGAATTAGAATTTGCGGCCAGGATACAGGGATATCTGTGCATTTAGGGTTGACATTTTCCAACAATCTGTTTTCTGATAATTACGCGTTTCATTGGCTCCAAAGCACGCTATTTAAAATGGCGAGATAAATACCTCATTTTATAGCATATAAGGTCTGCATGGTCTGGAACGCTTTTCCTTTTTGGCGTTTGTTTTATACTTCTGTAAGTACGTGCGCAGCTTCCAAATTGTCACTTTCTTAGGTATTTTCTTTAATATTTTATCAGAAGATCGTTTCTAAACTTACACTACAAAGTACCTCTTCTTGGAAACGTGCTTAAAACACTAATGAATACAAATTAGTTGCCAATATTGCAAGGCCCAATTCCGAATCAGAATAAAACACTACAGCCAAGGCCAAAGCTAGTGCCTCTGAAAAATATATCACTTGTCACTCAGGCCATTGTCCGCTTACGGTTGACATAGCACAATACTTTTTAAGTGCAACAGCAAGGTCGGTGAGACCAAGTTGTTTGCTTCTTAGATCATGCAGCCTGTGAACATGACTGCCTGTTTGTCGATTGAAGTGAGAATTGAACGTTAATACAAAAAAGCTAATCGACTCCGGCCGAAATGCCTCGGACTCTGCTCAGAAGGCGTCATTCCATGGAACTATTCCTAGACCTCTTCATACATCTGTGACAAGATTAAAATTTGACGCTCTGAAACTGGAGTATTTGCCGGAAAGCATGAAATACCCACAGACACTTGTAGCGTTTTTATGCGGTGAGCAAATATCAACAAATTTGTGTCTGGACATCCATTTAGAACAAGCATCCTCAGCTGCTCCTTGAGGTAAGCAGTTGGCTTTTGCTTTAGAGACACGGAGTAAGCAGAAATGCTTTTGAAACGTTGGTTAAGAAAGCTAAAGCGTCAGCGTAGTTAGTCTGTATAACGCTCTTCTAATTGGACCAGGATATCATATTTTTCATCCTTTCTACCTTAGGAATGATTTGAAGAGTTGCAAAAAGTCCCATCGGTAAATTCAATAGGCGGCTTTGCGACCATATATCTGGTTTTGATAAATTACCTTCAGGCCTGTGCATTAATATGGCGATTAAATTAAGGAATTTAAAGAGACGGCCAAGTAGATAAGTAGGATGTAGCTCGGGGTTGGAGAGAGGAGGAGGGAGAGTGAAAAACCACAATTCCAGTCACCGACAGGGAGAAGGTGGGTCCCAGCGAGGAAATTAGATGCAGGTGGCTGGCTTATTAGTTTTGACACATCGCAACTGTGGGATCTGCATAAGGTTTTTCTGTGCGCATAAGACCGGTCCACGTAGCCCGCTTGCAGCCCCCTCTGCCGTAGCCAACAAGCACAGCCCAAGGAGTTTTGGAGAGATTGATGGAACCTCGTTAATCACTATCAAGGGCTCTCTGGCGTCTACACGGTGGTCTGCGTCTACCATGTGACGAGTATTGTGCTATTGAGGTCCTTTGCTTGCCCCTTACCAACCCATGCTGTAAGATGTTCATTTATTCTTTTGGATAAACGCCGGCTCATGAGACCAATATATTCTGTCCCACAGGGGCAGGTGAAGGAGTAAATTTACTCCTTCGCCGGTGCCCACTTCTCCCTTGCGTTGACTGGAATTGTAGTGTTTCACTCTCCACCAACTCCCCTAACCTTCCGTATCCTCTAAACCCGAGTTTCAGCTTATTTAGTTCAATCGACAGTCAGTGTACATGCCAAAAGATAATTTATGGAAAGCAAACGTTTGCTCGCCAAATTATCGTTTAAATAAAAACTTGTATTAAAGCCCCTTCAGGGTACCATCAAAGAGAACAAAAATAAACTTTCATATGAATTTGAGGCAGGGTGGACAAAATGTCTTCAGAAGGCACCTTTAAGTGGAGAAGAAGAGTCGAGCACCGAAACACTTCGTTTATTATCCTGAGCTTACAGACTCGTACAGGAGTCAATCGTCAGAGGTAATGGTAGAAACAGGACAAGCGGCAGTTATAAGGCACGCAGGCCCCAATCATCGACCGACGTCGCACGACTGGAGGTGACTACTAAGGGCTCTGTACGCCGGCGACAGATCGATAAATAGATTGATCGAGTCCTCATCCGAGGCCCAGGCTTCAATCAATTATCGGCCTGTTTTGCTTCCGTCGTGGGCTACTATTTTGGTGGCGCCGGCGTACAGAGCCCTTCGTAGTCACCTCCAGTTTTGCGACGTCGGTCGATGATTGGGGCCTTCGTGTCTTATAACTGCCACCTGTCCTGTTTCTGCCATTACCTCTGACGAAGGACTCCTGTACGAGTCTGAAAGCTCAGAATAATAAACGAATAGTTCCGGTGCTCGACTCTTCTTCTTCACTGATGCATACACCTGGAACTGGAAATTTCGTCTTCATTCGCACTTTTAAGATGATGAATTCGTTCTTTGTTAAGAAATATATTGAACGATCATTTAAAAAAACTTCACAAAATAATTAAATGATAATTGTAATAACTTGACTGCAGAACAAAAATTGTCGCTCATAATAGGACACAAATATATAACAGATTATAATCAGAGAGGACTGGCTTGCATGTGCAATTTTAAAAGAGATTGAAAACGGATATTGTGACTGCCGAATTTATACGCCGAATGAGACAATTCGCGTCAGCCTTCGTGACTGACGATGCTCAACTCGTGCTTTGCAGTTGGGTGAGAACAGGCCCGGCGAATAAGGCATTATTGATTTTAAAAAAATAGATAGATGGCATTATAAATTTACAGTTGATGCATCGTCCCCTTTAGAGAAAATGCTCTATCGACGCTGTGAGCGCAATCCTCTGTATACGCCATATACTGGAAGTCTGGTCGCATCTCCGTTGACCCCTCCTCGGCTGACTGTGACCGATCGCCTATATACTGGTTTTCTTTTCGCCCCTTTGAAATGAATGACCTCATTTGGCATTTAAATTCTGCCCTGATGATGACCCGTTTCAAACCTTTTACTCAATACCGCATACATGCCAGTCCTGCCTGAGGCGCCTACTTACCCCTTATACAATCATTTGTACACTGCCACATACTGGGCCGGTCCTGCCTACTTTGTATTCAGAAGCGATAGTTGTTTCAGGAGTTATTTTAATCCAGTCATACTCCTTTCGTTTACATATTGGGAGTTTTTTTCACTGCTCACTTATCATTTTTCGTAACATATTACTTATGCAATAAGTATGGAGTAAGTATTGTTAACGTTCTGCACACCTGTTCTAAAATTCTAAAATTCATGTGAAAGTAATTCCTACTTCCTCTGAACGGACCCCCACGAATCTTCAGTAAAATTATTCTTATTATTATTATAGCCTATCATCTCCTCCTTTCCTAATTGCCTCTGACTTTAAAAAATCGATCAGAAGAGTGCAGATGGGCGACGGCGCAGGTGGCTATCATTGTCGCCAAATGACGTGCCGCCACATCAAAGGCACATACTGCTCATGTAAAATAAACGACCCTAGTTTAAGCGGTATTGAATGCAAGGTCATTCACAGTGCCATTTTGAAAATCATCAGATCGCTTTCAATTCATTTAAAAGCCGAAAAAAAATTAGAGTAAATTCGCGGAATTACATTGTTGGATTAATTTGTGAAATAAATTTGAGTAACTGCCACCTTCGCCAACCACTACGATAACTTTGACTATTGCTTCAAATCTTGCCAAAACATGGCATAAAAACAAAAAGATAGAAGTCATTCAAATCTGTGGAGATTCTATTAGAGCGATACGGACACGAATGTCGCCTATATAAGTGTTCATATAAGGGCGCGAGTGTGTTTTTCATGTACACTCTGCAGGAACTGCGATCCGGAAGACCGCGAGAGGCGACGTATTGGTTATCGAATTCGAGGTTAGGGGTTCATTCCACTGCTGAAAAATCAGACTTATTCATCTTACTCTTTAGAACCATGCTCGAACACATCATCGCAAGCAACATCGGATACACATGAAATTGTTATTGCATACCCAGGGCAATTAACTATCCTAATGCTTCATTGAGAATGGCAAGTTAAGGCAAAATAATGCCCATTGCTTTGTATTGGAGATGTATACTTAGTCATATTGAGCTCTTAAGCCGAAGCAGAAGGACGACTGTTGTCTCTATATTTCCTAAGAAGTTATCTGCGAACGGGTAGAAAATCAATATTTTTAAGGTCTGTGGTCAAGGACGCGAGGTCTTATGTAAGAATATTTAAGCCGAGTTCCACCAGCCATAGCGGACATCTGCATAATATTGACGAAATACAGACAGACAGCTAATAATATACTTAATGATATTCCCGCCATGAAGTAGATTAGCAAATTCAGGCAGTGAAAAGCATTCTGCAAACGCTTTTCAGATTACCTTGCACATTAGAGAATTGGGCCAAAAGTTGCCCTGACCTGAGTGAGGAGGGCCAAGACTGTATTAAAATTGCTGATATTTTGTTCGAAAAATTAAGGTGTTAAACAATAACAAAAGACAATTAGTTTGAACTGGCCCTGATGAGTTCTCAAAAATCGACTGTTTGCAAAGAAGATTAAAATTATTCTTGTTCCAGAAATTGCTTCTTGATCAAAATTTAAGTGAACTTGAACAAGGATCAATAAATCATTACGCTCGAGACGGAAAAGCTCAAATACACGAGAATTGTATAAAGCTTTGTGTCAAAATCATGACATTTTTTACTCGGCGCCTCGGTGGGATTCGAACCCACGCAGTAAGGGGAAGGCTTTAGCGCAGCCAACGCTCTAACCACCTGAGAAACGAGGCCCCTCCAAACGACGTGAGTTTAATCACATTTGGGTCAAGTTACCCGCCCAACCTACTGCAACGTCTGGAATCCACCAAATCTGATACAGTAAGTTGACTGTCCAAGCAGGATTTCCTAGGTAATTCACCTAGAATCCACCAGATGACTACCAGACTCGCGTAATTCATTGATATTTTGGCAGATTTTGACGATTTTGGCGTTGGCTGCGCTAAAGCCTTCCCCTTACTCCGTGGGTTCGAATCCCACCGAGGCGCCGAGTTTTTTAAAGTTGGGTCGATATGAATTAGTCAAAATCTGCCAAAATATCAATGAACATTTATTACTGTTCATATTTTTAGTCATCTTCTATGTAAATCGTGCTTTTGAGGATAGATTAATATGCATGCAAAATTACAATCTGAAGGCTGCAATTTTAACTACAGATGAGATATTATATAAAATACAGCTTAATAACCTTGTTCATGCAAGCTCTCTGGCGCTGCTCTATATGCTAGGAAAGTGATGCTCCTTTGACAGTTAAGGACTAACAAAATAAAAGTATTACAGTTAGTTTTAATCACAGAACTACTATAATGACGTTGATCCCAGAGACTATAAGTATGTGCATATTTTGAAAGGCGGACCTTTGGTGATCGTTATACAAATTGGCTTTGCATTTTTTGATTGAAGACTACGTGAATACGTACACTGCGTATGTAATCATTTGAAAATCATGTATTTACTTTATGTTCAAAGAAAACTTTATAAATCAATGAGTAGACGAATTCAATTAATCATGAAAAAATTGGCTTTGCTTGGGTAACGACAGCGCAACAACGGGAAGAAATAGATAATTAATATCAACCTTAAAATTGGCTCAGCATTTTCCTAAACATAATTTCAGATAACGCGTAATTAATAAAGGCGCTGCACGCAATAGAGTGCAATGCAGACGTTAGTTGTCAATTTGTAAACCTTCTCGCACAGCTAGGATTGTTCGTTGGACACTACGCATTAAGTTATTTTTTTATTAAATATCCATATGTTGGTTATTTGAAGTATTCTATTGCAAGCACTGGCAAGACAGTTTGCCAAAATTTTTAATCCGCAGAAGTACTATTAGGATGCATATGATTTTGAGTCTACTTTGTTAGCTTAAGACTTGCATATGCTGTAGACCATGGTGGCAAAACCTGATAACTACACCTAAAAATATATTACTTTAAGTATATAATGAATAAGCAATAGATGGCAGGCTGTTATAAAGCGATTGTGTGATGAAGGGCCATCGAAGTTAATTAGGTATACAACAAATACATAGTAAAGATTTCGTACATGCTTTCTTATTCTTTTATGTACATTTGTGTGTTTAAATACTAAAAGTGTTCATCTTCTTCTTTGAATTTTGCGAAATCAAAAAATATCTGAAGTATCTTGCAAAAGATTAAATATCTCATATAGATAGGCTACCAGCAAGAATAGAATTTATCGCTGAGGGCAACATTAAATATGCAAAATTTAGCAAAATTTATTTTAGTATATTCACAATTTTATTTAAAAGCTGACTTACCTAAAGATGCGATTTAATATAAGATAGAAAATTAATTATATTTTTACTGGTTTCATCTGATTTTCAAACGTTAAATTAGCCAAAAAGGAATGTCGACTATCCACTCATGCGAAAACGTAGGGCTCCTTTTTAGGTTTGCCCTTTGTGCAAATCAAACATTGTGATCATTCTCTGCCCTAGATTCGGCGCATAACGTAAGAAATTGGTCACAGCTTCAGAAAAGTAGGGTATTTACTGTCAATAGACAGTCAGTGTGCTCTGATATCTGGTGTACCATTTTCAGCTGATGGACAGAAATTCACAGAGGAACTCTGATTTTAAATTACGAAAATTCGCAAAGTCTAATCTACCGGCAACATGTTTATAAAATGTATTGCTTTGTCCTTCCAGTTGGATTACATTGTAAAATCAGTTCAGAACATCAAATGACTGCGATGTTCGAACAAATTCTTACCCGTCGTCTGCAATTCAAAGATCCCATACAGCTTCCCAACTGTGCTTCCGCCTTATGTGGTCGCTTGAAGACACCTTTCTTCAAAGATGATTTTAATTGTTATAAAGAGAAAACTATCTCCATTACTAAGCCCTCAGTAAAAGTAAATCAGGGAAAAGTAAATCAGAAATATGCAAATAATTGGAATGTGCTTTGTCTTAAAAGTAGTTGACAACGGCCGGGTTAGAGACGTTATTGATAACTACCTCCAGTGTTTTCATGACATTCTATGCCTTCGTGTATCTGCTATTTCTTCAAATATTCATTGTAAGACTGTATTATCAATAAAGCGTTCACTTGCTTAAAAAAACAAAGATTGTCTAAGGATATTAAAACTTGCATAAATAAACTCGTGATAAAAACTGCTGTTAATTTTCCTACCAAGTGAGAAATCCAGAAGTAAGTTTCAGGTAAATTAATATGGCAGTGAAATTTCATAATTTGTCTCTTTTGGACAATGTATCGCAGAGTACATATGCCGGTTGCGGTGTTTCCTTCCATAGAAAAATTAAAAATCGTCACTGTTCGATCATCCTTCATGAAAAAATGTAGCATATAAGGTTGCATATGCACGTCAGAACTCAAAAAAAGAGTGGACCTGATACGTCGGAGGTCAGCTTGGGACATATTTCTATAGGCTATTTTTTATTCGAGGTATCTTATGAAGTAGAGCAGAAAGTCAAAATATGTACAAACTATGTGCATGCTATTTGCCACTTTGACAAGGTCAAAAAATGTCGGTAATTTACTTGCCACAGACCAACAGACATATGTAACCTTGAAACACCGAAACTTTCAGCAAAAATGAGTCCTCTCTGCTGTACTGTTAAACAACTTAGGATGTCCTCGGCCAATTTTAGCGCCAATGAGTTTGAAAACGGCATTCTATTGCATTGAAAAAAGCCTGCATGATGTGCAGCTTGTTTCATAATTCTATTTGCCCAAGCTTTTTTCCTAATTTCCGATTTGGTTTAGGCGTTCACTTGACTGGGAAAATAAGTAGCATATACAGTTTTAGTAACAGGAACATCGTATTTTAATTGCGTTCGATTAAGAGCAAAGAAGAGGGAACATGTTTACAATTATATTCTTGAGAAATTAAAAAAAATAGATTATTAATCAGTAATTTGCATGTATTTTTTAACTTGGACGACGTGTCTTGGCGACGCCTTAATAGGCTGTCGGTGGGCATGGGGCGTTCTCTTTTAACAAAGAGTAATATTTGTGTAAAATAAAATGGAAACCAAATGCTTTGATTTACGTTAGACAGATTTTATTAGAAATAAATTTATTACAGCATTGTTTGTCATTTTAAACATTTAAATAAAGTGTAACTACCTTGTACAAAGAAGCATTGCTCGGCGACATAGCGTAGTAGTAGTGTTACATTGAGAACACGTTTCATAAGCTCGCGTTTATCAAGAACGGCAAATGATGGCAGAGCGGCTGTTGACCACTTAAGTACCAGTTGAAGCATCGGCTGGTCAATGTTAATTTGTTTATATCAGACAGCGTGTACTGAAAGCTAAAAACAAATTCATTTGCTTTCGACGACCCGAGTCACGCGCTTTCAGGTATATTTCGACGGATAATTTCACTTAGCCCAAATTTTGATTGAGTAAATACAGATTTACAGCGATTTTATACCAAAGCGTATTTCTTGCAAATTGATAGATTTCTGTACGTTCAGCTAATACAGTGATGAGGGTGCATTTATAGGTGAAGTATGAGCACATACACGGTGAAGGATAAAAAAATAATGTAAGGCACAATTTAGATACTTAAATTACAAAGAAGCGTCCCCGTGATTGCAACGGTGGAGGAAGTAGATAGACGTGACAAACTGTGATTTTTAAATTCTTTGTTGTTGACTATGACAAATGTTATTTGTGCAATTTCCCAACGTTAAAATACTAATTGATACGGTTTTCATTCGCGCAGGCCTTTAGCCACAGCTGTGTGCCCGCATAGATCACTTATCTTGGTGGGTCTTTTTATCCTTAACCTGTATCGAGTACAGCATTTGGGGCTGGTCATGAATTTCTGCATAAAATGAACTCTGTCCGGTGGCAAGTCAATCGATATATAGATAAGGATTTCCACACGGGCCAGCATTTAAAAAAATGCAGCTAAAGCCGAACGAAGGATAATATTCAATCATTAAAAATTGCCGCACACGTGAGCCAAACAAGGCATGCGTCTATGTGTGATCTTAGGCAGCCTACCCAGAATACATTTGGACAAACCAGAGTTGTTAAACGGTCGGCTGTCCAATGCTTTTGCAGACGGGCTGCTTATTTTATTACCTCATTTCGTACCTCAATTTCGCATTTGTCGAAGCATGACTGAAAGCCTCCGCATGACAGGCAAACTTAACCAGATATTGATTTAGTGTGCGCATTCCTTTGTTTTAATCTAGAAGACTTTTACGAGTGCTTTATAAAGATGTGACTACAGCGGCATACGCTTAGCCTGGTGAATGTTACTGCGAAACCCGTACAACTAGAAGAATATTACAATTAATAAGATTCAGATTGTAATTCAAATAATTGAGCTATTTGTTGCAAACGGAGAAACGTCAACCAAGGTATGCTGTAAGAATAAAATTTTAGAAATGTAGCTAGAGTAAATCACGACTATTTCTGTTCACGTTAGTGGAAAGTAACTGTGTTAGAGTACATTTAGGATATTTTAGCATTTTAAAGGATACCCATAATCAAGCAAAAAGGGTATCTAACATGAGTACTCACTTTGGAGCGCCTTCGGGCTAAGCAGGCGACTAAAACAAAGTCGAAAAAATGCTAGTGTATTGCGGTGTTTAGGAAACGGTGGCATTATGTGGCACTCATATCGTCTGGAAACGCTGATTCGGATCGGTTTTAATGCTGATAATTGAAGGGTTTAACTTAAATATTGTTCACAAAAAAGATTCCGACATTCAAATTGGCACAAATAGAACTTTGCAAAAGACAATTCCTTTTCAAATAACAATGTTTGATTAAGTTTCTTCAATTTAATTTGCATCTTGTTAAATGCTTGTTCTGTTCCTTGTACGCGAATTATTTCAGAATGTATAGGTCTCGCGTGTGCTGATGATCTGAAAGTTGCTGACATCGTGCTCGACTTTCTAAAGAGCGATCAATAGGTCTTTGCAAAGTGGTTTACCACACGGCATCTTTCTCTTGTTTGCCATAAGTGCCCAGTCATGGGGATTGGCGACATCAGCCAAACTCAACTAACATTTGACGGTCCCGTCTTAAATGTGCCCGGGGTTATTCGGGATGTTGGTTATCATACTCCAAGAGCCTCATTTTTTCGGAGCACTGCGCCCTGATATATTCCAAAATACCTAGAACGGCCGAATTTATCCTCCGAAACTTTAAAACTTGCGAAAATAGAATGCTTCCTAACAACAAGCACGTTTGAAAGGGCCTGAAATACTGTGCGACTCTATTTAGATGCATGCGTGCTGAGAAAGCGGAAGAAAATATAATATATTCAACACTTTTCTACCAAGAATGTTTAAACCCTGGAACACCGACCTTTTTCATACCAAGAACGTTACTGTCTTACATGGTTTGATCCTTTATGACATCGTAAATTACGAATGGAACTAGTTGAGCTATTGATGCCTTAATGTCACCTCGCCTTTAACCCACTCACTTCTATAAGTCAGTTTGCCCATCACTGACGTAACAGTCAGTGTGAGGTATTTTTATCTCTTCCTCTGGCACGATCTGTTTAATATCGTTCTTTATATTTTGAGAACGCAGTTGCATTTTGGGACACAGTACTTAGGAATGGAAAAATCGCAAAATCATACTATTTTTAATAGATTTATAAATGTACTTTTGCATTCAGAATAGCTTACAAATTTTCGGTGCTGAATTCGTCAATCGAATTTAATGTTTTTTGGCATTCGTAGTCTCTGATCCGTATGGTCTGTCTCATTATAAGCAGTTTCTTTAGCCAATAGCGAGAGCTGTTTTTTACTGCTTCTGTCTGTTCCAGTCCCAACTTCATGCAAAGAAATGACGACTGATGTAGTCTTAACCCTACCTTTATAGACTAACGTCCTTTCATGGGTGGCGGTTTTTTATTGTGAACCATAAAATTTATGTTATTGTTTATGGGACATGATTTTTTTCCCAGCTGTCTGAACAGAAGCGATTTCTAACATCTGCTGGCTTCAATCTCTCAGTAAACTGCAAACTGGGGTTAAATGCAATTAGCTTGATTATTTTTTTCCTCTGGCACGTTCCGTTGGATATCGTCGATTCTTCCCCGCAAACGCAATTTTAGTTTTTTTCGTATTATCAAGGAGTACTAAAATTCCGTCAAATTATATTTTTTAAGAGAAGCAAAATGCATTTCGTGCAGTCAAAAAGCTCCAACATATTTTGGTTTTTTATTTCGCTGGTTTAATCCCCTGTTGTGATGGCTGAACTGGTCTATGTTCCGGTGGAACATCTCACAGTGCACTATTTTATCAGCCAACAAGGAAGAAAAAAGTAGCGATACACCCGGTGGTCCAGCTGCTAGCGAACAACGAGTTTTCAATGCCTTCGTTATATCCAGTCCTTATCTCCTTTGCAGAAATGGAAACTGAGAATATTCGAAACAGCGTATCCTATATCTTTTTGCACTGACCTCGTTTTATGGGCAGCGATTTTATCCTCCTGAACCATCCACACTTTAAAGTACTTAATCATTAGAAGTTTTTTCTCACTGTACGTCCGATCCGTGGTTTTATGTATTTTCGATTGTGTCAGTAAACTTGCACTGAATACAACTATTATTACAATGATCCCAAAATAATAGACTGGAATGACTGCCCGGCCGTTCAAAAATAGCTTAATCAGTAGCCAAGCCAGACATATTGGCCTACAATATGTGCCGACCCACCTGACAAGAAAGAGCATGACAAGCCGCGCTCAGACAAGTGGTCACTATAAACTATTATCTAAGACTGCCTTCTTTAAATTTGCATTGGTGGGTTTCTGAAAATCGACCGCTTTCAAGGAGACTTAAAATTCTTTTCATTCCAGGAATTGCTTTTGAAATATTGGGAAAATGATGAGGTTTGTGTATCGAAGAAAATTTTAATGAAGCTGCAAGGGATTCATTAGCCAGTACACTCGTAAGAAAAAAACAGTTAACACACACTGCAATTCTGCAGACGTGTGGATAATGCCGGTAGTATTTATAACGATTCACAAATTTTCAAATCTATACTGAACTTTTAATTTATTTCAACTCAGAATAGCGTACTTCCGAAATTCGCAACGACAAAACATGGAGTTTTAACTACGATAAGAATGTTATGTGAAAATAATCTGTATAAATGCATTACTCCCGCATGATTGTCTGAGTAATAATGCATACAATGCTATACATATGTCTCATGATGTAAGATAATAAAAAATAGTGATAATTATTCAGTTGTAGTCGCAGATGCCGATGCAAATTATTCAACCTAATGACTTATTTATGCACGTAGTTTGCGTAGTTTAACTTTAAATGACGCTGCATAAGCATCCTCTCTTATAATCTAGAGTGATGCGCATAAAGCCCAAAATGGCTAAAGAAGTTACAAACCGTTGAGACGAAAAGACAATTTTGTTTTAAATAAGTTTCGTCCAGCGTAATCGTTTACATCAGGGAATTTATTGTAAACTGCTTTATATATTTTTACTTAAGAATGCTAAAGAAACGCGGTGCGAAGCGCGATTATGCAAACCGAGGCTAATGTCACCTCAATCATATAATCTCATGCATGATTTACTGAAGCTTATCGGATTTCTTTATATGTGCCTCATGTTTGCCTCGTCAGAAGCGCGGTCACTCCTCGCGATTAATAAGTTTCTAATTAATATACCTATCTTAATTTCGGCGTTCATGTCATCGTATAGTCGTTGTAAGTGGTACATATTTTGGGAAAACTTCAATATAAAAAATAAGAAAAAGACAAACAGTCACGCAAGTGCAATTTTCGACAAAGCTGGAGTCGTTATAAATGAGAGCTAATCATCCATTTCAGAATATACGCGTAGTTAAGAGTACATATTTTAAGAATCCTTTATGATAAAAAACAATGAAAAGACGATAAGATGTTTGAAAAGTGACGTATGTACCAGAAAACAGGCAGCAAATTCTGTGGGAAACACTGACGAGCTGAATCGCTCGAAGCTGTGTCAGGCGACGGCAGAATATCGACGAAACAGGCGTGTATGTGCTTATGTTTATTACCTGTGCTCTTCGTATGGAATCATCTTACCCTAATCAACATACAACCTATGTTGATCACTTATATTTTGACATTTATACATGTATTTTTGGTAGTGCTCATAAAGAG